TTTTGGTTTTTCGAGACAGGGTTTCTCTGTGTAGCTTTGCGCCTTTCCTGGAACTCACTTGGTAGCCCAGGCTGGTGATTTGTTTTTTTTTACCACTATATAAGAAATTCTACCTTTGGGCTGGGCATGGTGGCACACGCCTTTAATTCCAGCTCCCTGGAAGCTGAGGCAGGAGGATCTCTGAGTTTGAGGCCAACCTGGCCCACAGAGCCAGTTCCAGGACAGCCAGGGCTACACAGAGAAACCATATCTAAGAGAAAAAAAAAGAAAGAAAAGAAAACAAATGTCCATTATACATTTCCAGTTTTATCTCAAATTACTCTAGCACCATAACATACACTATGTGCACAGCTTTACTCCAACCAAACCTTAAAACTCACTACATGAACCAAACTTTAGCTTTTACAAGTCTTTCCCTAACTTTTTATCTCTACCCCCAGAAAAGAGACTTTTAGTTTGATAATAAAGCAAACTCAGAAGTCAGTCGGCAGGGCTGGAGAGATGACTCAGAGGTTAAGAGCACTGACTGCTCTTCCAGAGGACCAGAGTTCAATTCCCAGCACCCACATGGTGGCTCACAACCATCTATAATGAGATTTGGTGCTCTCCTCTGTGTACATAATAAATAAATAAATCTAAAAAAAAAAAAAAAAAAAAAGAAGCCAGTCAGAAGTTTAAAGATCAAGTCCTTTTCCTCATCAACTGATCTGTAATTTGGGTACTTAAAAGGTTGAATACTTCATCACTAGACCATGTGATTGAAGTCCAACAGCCTATTATTCCATTCTGCTTACTGAGTCAGCACAGAAAATATGGATTCTTCTTTACGTTAACCTCTTAAGACTGCATGTTTTTATTCTTACACAGATTTTTAAAGAAATACTTAGCCCACACTTTAAAAATGTACAATTCAGTGGTTTTTAGCGTACTCAAAACTGTGAAGCCATTATCACTAACTTCAGAACACTGTATCACTTCGGGGCCTAGTTTTTCAACCAACCCCAGGGTCTCTAGGAACTGCTTACTCTGGCACTACATATAAATGGAATCACACAATATGAAACCAAAATCCTTGTGACCAGCTTCACCCACCATGCATGATGCATTCAAGGTTCATCCATGTTGAAACAAACATGTATAGGAGCTTGATAACTTTCTGGATGTTATGTTCTAAAACACATGCCATGTTTGCTAATCCAGCTATCAGCACTATATGTTACTTCCAGTTTTGGCCATTGTGAGTAATGATGCTATGAAGATGTGTTAAATATTTTTATGCGCACATGTTTTCAGTTTATTTGAAACAAGGTCTTACCATGTAGCTCTGACTGTCCTGGAACACACTATGCAGACCAGGCTGGCCTGACTCTGCATCCTGAGTGCTTGGAATAAAGGCATGCACCACCAACTGATTTCCACTTTTTTTTGTTTGTTTATTTTTTGGTTTTTTTCGGAGACAGGGTTTCTCTGTGTAGCTTTGGAGCCTGTGTCCTGGAACTTACTCTGTAGACCAGGCTGGCCTCGAACTCACAGAGATCCGCCTGCCTCTGCCTCCCCAGTGCTGGGACTAAAAGGTGTGCGCCACCACCGCCCACCACCACCACCACCACCACCGCCCGGCCGATTTCCACTTTTTGAGTATACTTAATAAGTGGATCTGCTGGATCATAAGCTAATTCTCTGCCACCACAAATTTTAGGAACTACCCAGCTCTTTCCCACGCACTGTACTATTTTGTAATCCCATCATTAATGTGTGAGAATTTTCAGCAAATAAAGATGTTATGAAGGCCAAAAAGATGTGTGCAACCGTCCTATAACAGCTCCACGCAAGGAGAAAGTAGAAATACATTTTTGGCACTTATACAGGTAATAAAATGTTACAGGTCCAAACATATTAAGCAAGTTAATCTCTCGGAGCCTTCTTCATTCAAACACAGGGAAGCATTAACAACATCTGTCTTTCCGTCTTGTGGTGATTAAATAGAACATAAAGGTACTACTTTGCAACATTGACTGTTCGTGATTCAATCCCAGGCAAAGCTTTAGCGATAAGGGATTAAATGGCCAGTCCCCCCCCCCACCTCACCCCACCCCCGGCCCGTTCAATCCCTTCCCTGCGGGAGGGGCTGCTGAGTAACCACTAGGGCTGCCGCTGCCCTAGCCACGCAGGATAAAATTGTTACAGCCCGATCCCTCTAAACCTACGTACGCTCTCGGGAGAGCGATCCTGCAGCCTGCTGCCACTTAAAAGCCGAGGAAGTCAGCGCCGAATCCTTTTTCTGCTTCCTTGATGTGAACGAGCACACCGAGGATGGCTGAAGTCAACACGAAGGGACGCACGGAACAGAACACCAGCATACATCTCCCCCCCACCCCGCTCCCCTTCACGTCTCCCAATCTGTGCCTCGGCAGCCTCCTCGGAAGAAGAGCAAATCAGAAACCTCCCTAAGTCTAAAACCCCCCCCAATGGTCCCCTCACCTCCGCCCAAGACTTCCTTCCTGGATCCCCGGGAAAAGACTGCGAAGCTTACCTGGTGTCCGCCCCCGGCTCTCCCCGGCTCTGCCCAGGCGCCTCCCGAGGGGTAGTAGGCATCGCCACCTGCGCCTTCCCCGGGCCAGGTGGTCTCGGCCGGGGCGCCCCCGCGCCCTCGCCAGGAAACGGGAGGCTGGGGAGGCTCGGGGCGCAGAGGAGGGTATAAGGGCGGGGGTACGTGCACCGGGACATCGCCTCCGCCGGGCCCGTAGTAGCGGCCGTACGAAGGGCCGTCGCTGGGGCCGTAGCCCGAGCGCCTCAGGGCCGACATGGGCTCCGCCGCCGCGAAGCGCTTCCCGCCCCCCACGGCCGGCCCAGGGCGCAGGCGCACACGGACGACCGGGACTCGCCCTGCAAAAGTTTTAAGAGGTCCCATTTATTAATTGTTGTGCTCAGGCTCTGTGCTGCTGGTGTTATATTTAGAAAATGGTCTCCGGTGCCAATGCGTTCAAGAGTACTTCCTACTTTCTCTTCTATTAAGTTTAGTGTAACTGGATTTATGTGGAGATCTTTGATTCACTTGGACTTGAGTTTTGTGTATGGTGACAGATATGGATCTATTTGTAATCTTTTATATATTGACATCCAGTTATGCCAGCAACATTTG